CCATTTATTCATTTTGTGTGACTGCTTCTTTTTGCCCAGTTTACAGCTTGAGTTTCAGAGCTGTTGAAATGTTCAACGCAGCAGTCCCTGGGAGCCCATTGACTGCAGCACTTCTAATTATGCACAAAAAAGAAACAAATTCTTTTGAGTTTCTTTCTTTGAAAAAGCAGCTCAGTATTCATGAAATACGGAAATAGAACAGCTTTTTTTTTTTTTTTTTTTTTTTGGAAAAGGAAAGAACTAAATATTCAAAAAATGCCAAGGTTACCAAAGTATAGCATTAGGAAATAGCAGAATGATTTCTCCCTGAACTTGTGACTTAGCTTTCGAGAAAAATATTTTCCCTGAAGAAGCCCAGTTTTGGCTTAGCCATAGCAACAAGAGAGAAGAAAGTCACTGTTCCTGGTCTATAATGGCATCTCTTTCCACATAGCTTTCTACATCCCTTAAGCATTTTACAGTGTAATGTAGGTTAAAGTGAAGCAGTAGACTTGGGATTTCTTGACTTTTACGAAAGATTCTTACACTACATGCCATGATATTCTTATGACAAAGTTTGGGAAATACAACTTACTTGCAATTACTATTGGAGAGAACTGTGTCTTTGGAAAATGTGATTCGGGGAGATTTTTGAAACTAGAAAGATGTAGCTAGTGGGGTTTTACAGCAATCTTATCTTCATTCCTTTACCATTCAATGGTTTTGTTATGAATATGGCAGATAAATACAGTATGTTTTTACTGAGCTTACAGAAAATACCGTGCTAGAATATGTTGCAAATAGGCTATAGAGGGACAGGATCAGAGTTCAAAATGACCGTTACAAAATAGAGAAATGCATGAGAGAGGCAGGCAGGGAGAGAAGACTGCTCATTCTTCAGAGAGACATATTGTTCTGTACGTAACACTGCTTAAGTGCAGAATGGTAAATAAGTGGTTAAGCAGTTTGAAGAAAATAACATCCTGGGAATATAATACAAGCCGATATGGGTTTAAATGTAGTGTTATAAAGTGACAGATATGATTTTGATATGTATAAAGAGGCACATGTGACTGATAGCATCGGAGAACAACTCTCTAGTGTAAGCTGAAATACTGTGTGAATAAAATTCAAGAAGTATATAAACCACTGGACGTATTCATAGGAAACCAAGCAAGAATGGTAGGGGACTTAGAAAACAGTATTTCTGAGGAAGGAATGTTGGGAGTATAAATTATCCGGTCTTCCCAGGTATTTGCTCTAAGATTAATCATATTAACTATTAGGGGAGCTTAGGACAACCTACTTAGAGGTGAATATCTAAACAGCAAATATGTATGCTTATCATTTTCCTGTGGCAATAAAGTTCATAGTTAATTGCATATGACTTTAAAAAGTACTTCATTTCATTGTTTTGCATTTTAATGGATTGTGCTGGAAGATAAATAATGTATTGTAAAGTATCATAAACATGATAGTAGCAGTAGCTCTTTAATCCTATTTTTTGGATTCTTCTCACACCGTTCTTAATTTTGCAATATCCCGGAGATGTTGTGACTCAATACATGCAGTACTTCAGATCTTGTCACATTATGTGATTTATATAATGGCATTTCAGAATTCTTTATTATCACCTCCTGCTCTTTAAGCAATAAGCAACCTGATTTGATTGCATTTTTGACTCAATAGTCACAGTGAGCAACAGCTAGCTTAGGGCTTTCAAGGTTTTTAAGTAATAACCACTTCTCACTCAAGAAGTATTTGTGATGAATCTAAATGTTATTCCTTACTGTGATGAAAATCAACTAATCTAATGATAATCTATTTTTTTTTGTTTACAGACCAGTCACTAATCCATCACAACTTTTTCTTTCATTTTAAATGTAAACAACAGATTGGTAAAATGTTCCTTTCTTTTGTAAAGTCAATACCAATTAGACAGAATTTCCTGCTCCCAGGCCTGTGGGAGTGATGGTTGTTATGCAATTAGATGGTTATCAACTCAGTAATTCTGTATTAAAGGTTCTTTAAAACTCTTAAAAGTACCTTCTAGTCCAGATTCCTCTGTTATATTCTTTATGCTCCACCAGCACTACTAATTAATACTTTGCTACCTGAAGATAAAAGATAAAGATTTTTATTTCTAGAATAATAAAGCAGAGGGTAGAAGAATGAATACCAAAAAAAAGCTTTCAAACAACGTAATTACCGTATTTCGCTACTCCCTTAGTCCATGACTATCTGTTAGATTCACCAGTTCTAGTGTAGGCCTCTTGCTTCTTGTAAACTTAAAAAATATTTTGTTGTTTATTTTTAAATCTTTTAATGTTTGTTCTTGGAAACTTGCTATTGCTGTCTGCAATTTCCTCTTACTTAACGCCTGCTGAAGTTTAAATTCCTGTTTATTGGCTTCCCTAGGATCATGTTTCCAAAATTTGAAGGATTTCTGTTTGGTTGAAACAGATTCTTGAACCTTGCCATTCATCCGGTTTAGCTTAATCCTGCCTTCCTGATTCTCTTTCTTGCACAGTGCACAGAGGTGGCTCCCTCTAAACTAGCTTTGTTAGTGCCTTCTTCCACACTTTAGGGTTTTTGTGACTAATGTAAGCTTGCTAAATCTGTGAATTGCACTTCATTACTTGGTGCCACAAAAAACACATCAACAACTCCAAGTCTTCCGTAGCCGGTGTAGACCAGATCTGTCACTTGAAAAGACCATCACTAAAGGTAGCCAGGCTGTTCTCCATGTCCTGCCTTTCCTTCTGACACTACACAGTGCTTTTGACAGCCAGATAGCTTCGTTTATAGGTGGGATTTTTGAGCATCAAAGCCGTACTTTTCATTTTAAAAATGGGAATGGATCTGAAATTGATGCAGTACCTAGAGGACTGTTTTTTACATTTCATGCCTCTCATTTATGCTTTCATAAACAATTTTGAAATGTGTGGTCTTCCTAAAACATGTGTTCCTCATGTATAAGTAGTGCCTGGAGCTGAAGAAAGAGATCAATATGAGGACTTGACGTCAGCAATGCCTCAGATGGACAAACCTCTGCTGGATGCACCACCTGTCCCACAGGATTGGATGACTTGCTTGATAGACACAAAACTGCATGCAGGCCTCTTGGTCTAGTAGAATAGGATCAGACTGGTAGATTTTTGCAGGATTTTTTGAATTGTCCAAATAGTGTCCCATCCACAACCCTTTCTTCTTGTCTAGGAAAGGACGAACCTTGCCCTAACTGGATCTAATATTTAATTGAAAAAGACAGAGCTCAGCAGGCATATGACTAACAGAATCGCATCTTCTTTGACTGTCTTAGAAGTTGATACTACTTTCTAGGATCTTTTTTCACTTGAGAGCACTAGTTTTGTCTTTTAACGTTTGCTATCTGGAGCCATCACTCATCTCTCCAGTGGTGTTCTGTTTCCTTTGAGCATTGCTGGAATTTATCCAACTCCATGTTTTGATCACCACCAAAGACCTGTGTGATTGCCATTTCCTCCTCTATCACACATTGTGAGTGTATTACCATTAGCAATATCAGGTCCAACACTATCTTTAACTCTTTGTGTGCAAAACTTCATTTTTCTCCTATTTTTAGGAGATGAGTCAGTATTTGAATATTTCAGGCAGACTAAAACCTGGAAACTTAAATAGTTTAAGCAAATTACTATTCATGGTCTCTGCTGATTTTACAAATACAGAAGAAAGGAGGCACAGAATATTGTTCTTCATTCACAGGTTATGACTACCTCTGTCATGCAACACAGAGGCTTCAGATTCTGACAACAGGAGAGGCATCATCCTCTTATTCTCACAGTGAGATGACTGGGCAGGCAAGATGAAGAAGGAATTGCTTATTCTTTGGATCTGCATGTTTCTTCATCAAAGCATTGAGGTCAAGAGTGGACGGATGGCCCTTATTAAAACCAGCTAAGCCTGTGAACGCTCTCTAAAGAACCTGTGACAGTCTGTGGACACAGAGCAACATTGATGATCATATTGCAGCTCTTCATTCTGCAGTGGAACGTTCCCTCTGTGGGCCTCATTCTAGCAGTAATTTACAACCTAATATGTATGTGCTTGTTCAAGGCCAAGTCATAGGCTAGGCACTGAAATTTCTACCTGAACCTCGTTAGGCTTCGCTGTAATGGAAGTCAGGCTAGATGGACACAGTATAATCGTAATGAGTCAAAATATCTAAATTAATGAATATTTAGGCATCCACGAAAAATGACCTCATTCTCAAATGTGCTTGGTTCCCACTGTTAACATAAGTAGCAGTTGCCAGAGATCAGCACTTCACTTTTAATTAGGTGCCCAAATGTTGGATTCAATCATTTATGTTGGTTCAGGTGATCATTCAGACAAACTGATAATAAATTGCACTGAGCCATTACTATTACATCGCAGTCCAGCAAGGTAAGACTTACACAGCCAATTTCCAATCCTGTTTGGTAATACTATGCAGGTCTGCAGGTCTTCACAAATTGTATTTGCCATTACTTTTACTATTTACCAGGTCATTTGAAATATTTGCATATTAAAATGCCAGTAGTAATTTAATGATTATTTATATATTTTGGCTCACTCTTGTAAACATTTCATGTGTGATTTGCCATCATTATCATTGCTGTTCTAGAAGTACGTGCTGTAAGGTAATGACTAAAGTTTCTTCTGTAGTCAGTGCTAGAGAGTCAGATGCAGCACCAGAGTCCGATTCAAAAGCTGTGCAAGGTAGACAGATAAAATCATGTTCCAAAGGTGTCTTTCTCTTTTTATAAGCCATGTAAGGAGCATGGGTGACTTGTTTTTGTGTGTCTGACTTTTTGATAAGTAAATTAGATAAGCTTACCATTTCTGCCACTGAGATTCTTTTCAGTAGGATTTAAAGATGGTAAGTGCTGTAATTTCATTGCCTGTTTGCAAGAGTAGTCAGTTTGCAACTTAGTTTGCAAGGTTTGTAAAGGATTGGTTGTGTACTTACCCTGTTGCATGTTTTTGTTTTTTTTTTTCAGCAAATATCTTGTATATGGCAAGCCAAGAAATGATGAAGGTTGTGGAGAGAGACAGTACAACCATAAAGCAAAATTTAAAGAAGGTAACACTATTTAATCTTCAGGGTTTTTCAGAGGAAGCCCCATTACACTGGGGAATATATTACAGTAGCTCTGTGATTGAAGGTGGACTCCGATTCATGATATTTTCAATCTGACATTAGTTAATCATGAGAACCTCATGGTTTGATTTTTCCATGGCATCAAAACATAATAGAGAGGAGTCCACAAGATTATCGTGGTTCCACAGTTTCAGCCATTAGATCCCAGTAGGAGATACACATATAAAAAACATTCCTAGGAGATTGTAGCTGCTACTCTACTGGTGAACTAAACGTCCAGGGCCTTGCTTGTCTATACAGGTTTATAGCTGGAGCAGATCCTGGTACAGTTTTGGTGAGGACCAAGTAGCATTTTCACAACCAGTTCACAGCCGTAGTTCCTGGCCAGGAACCATTCCTAACTGGAAGCTCTGATGTGGTCATCCTGTTTCAGAGCCTGAGAGAATTTAGTAATATAGATATGGTCAAACCTCTCTACATGTCCTAAGACCCAGAAAATGGTCATATTTGTTATACTACTGTTGATGTGTGTAGTCTGTGTGAAAAGACAGTAAGTATAACATGTATAATTCTGCTGTGTTCCCTCCCTCCTCCGTTCTTTGTATCATCCCTGTCATTTTACTGGGATAAATATTCTAACACTTTACACTGGCAGAGATTTTCCTTGGAGAATGGAATTTTCTAGGACAGAGGTCTTAGAACTCTGTAAAATTACTTCGTGCCTTTTAAATAGATACTGAACAAAGTTCACTCAATAAATCATTCATTCTTCTTTTGGCTGAAAATAGATTTCTTTTACTTAACCCGTTTGCCTGCTCTGCACTTCTAAAGGTATGTTCAGATGTACCTAGTTTGTGAGGGATTAAAAAAAATTTAAAAAGCCCTCACTACAAGTAGTTCATGGTGTGAATCTAAGCATAGCCTTGGTGCAAAATAACTTTTTTAAATTTTGTTTTATTGATTCTTCTATGTTCCCGTACTTCTAAAGGGGTAAACATACTCAAGAAAACAAAACGCTGAGACAAGCTTATAAGCAGCTGGGTGACTGAAGAAAAAGCAGATATAAAAGTAAAGTTAAATGGGTCTCTCTTTTCATTCTTCAAGTAATTTCTGGGAATGTAAGAATTAAGGAAAAATTTTTGAGTTGGCGTTATGTTAAATTTGAAGTGCATCGATAATAAAAATGGTCTTAGCTTATAAAGGTTGGAAGTTTATGAAAACAGGAACTATAGTCCAAGTTGCTATAGAACTGGCAAATTGTCCTTCAAAAAAATTAGACTGTTTAGTAGTCACTGTGATCATATGCTAAAAGCCAATCTTAACACCTGACTTTGCCAGCTGCTGTGGAATAGAAAAGTTATTTCTGGATCCTATTAGTGTTCTGTGATCTGAAAAGAAGGAAGAAGAGACAGTAAATTATTCCACTTTTTCCACATCCAGGTTTAACTATACTTAGGGAGAACCAGAAATTTCATCTTCAGATCCCAAATTCTTAACGTAACAACGCTAGTTGCTAAGGTTCATATTGAAAGAATGGGAGCTGGAATTAATTGTAATTGTAAGTAATTAATTGAGGTTTTTCACTTACAGCCTTTTAAATACAGAAGTTATGCACATTAGATAGATAGCAATATAATTATATGAAGAAAAGGGAGACCTACCTTCTGACAAAATAATATAGAGTATTTAAAATAGGACTCTGAAGCTATTCATCTAGATCAAACAGCACAGGAACATGGACTCCTTAATGTAAAAACAGAGAGTAGTGATAAATCACAAAATTAAATAAATAAGGTAGGGATATTGATATAAAACTTAGTCAGCTAATGGTAGTTAATTATCATTAGCTGATTATGTCTAAGCCAGCTGAGGTATGTTCTTTAACTGTAATAACACCAACTCCCTTTCCTAAGAGATACTGGAGGCAAAAATATTACTGCACAGGAAGAATTTTGTTGTGATTCTTGCACAAAAGGAAGTGGGCGTTATTCAGTGTTCATAAAAGATGGATCAGCATCGAGGATCACAGACAAATGCAATAAAAATAAAAAAGAAAGGGAAAATGGCTGTTTCTAGGCCTTCACTAGCATGGCCATGGTGGACAGTGGTATTTCCATATAGTAGCCTCATTCAGTATTTACCTTTTGAAGTCTGTGTCATGCCACATTCATTGCCTTATTTTAGGGATTGGCTTTACTGACTTCTGTTGTGATAAAAAGACTCTTGCATTAAAGGCTAAAACAACAATAACAACAACAAATCCCTTGGATTATGTGTTTACTGCAATGCATTTTGTCCATTGCTTCATGTATAATACATAGTAGTCCCATTTTTAAATGTAGGATCTGCTCCAAAGCCCATCTAAATCAATGGGAAAGCTCCCATAGCCCCCAGCAAGGCTTGGATTTGTTTCACAGTGAACTCTCTGTAGTTCTTCATAATTTCTTAACGCCATAAATCACCCCCTCCAGAGAGAGAAAATCACTACTCTTTTGGTTAGCGTGTTAGAAGAAACAAAAAAATGTAATTTAATATCTTTCTTCAACTTAGTTTTATCACTGATGTTGTATAGCAGGTACATTGACCGTGTAAGAAAAATGGTAGGAAATAGCTGCATTGACTATAGTACATTGACTGTGTAAGAAAAATGGTAGGAAATAGCTGAAGTAAAGACACAAAGATGAAGAATACCCGTTACCTGAGAAGCAAGGTTTTTAACCAAATGGGGGAAAAAATACATGCTGGAAGCTTTATGGATACATGAAACTATCTGCTTCTCAATTTTGGAATTATTTACTGCAGGTGACCAGGGCTATAGATGATTGGGTGTGGAAGAAACTCGCGTTCTAAACATTTTAAATTAATGAGCTTAATTTACCTTCTCCTGCTTATATCAGTGATTAATTTAGAATTTAAAACAATGTAAGTTTAAGTCTTGGCATTAATACCATAGAAAATGTGTTATCCCATAGCATCACATAAACAATGATGCAATTGTATTCAGAATAAAAATGGCAGAAATAACTTTTTTCACAGAAAATGAAGTGCTAGGTTTTTCTTTTTAGAAATTGTTGTCTTTACTAAAGAAAACTTAAAAATCTGAGCAAACAAAACTCTTTTGACCCTTGAAACAGCTGTTTTGATGCTGCCCAGTTTGTTTTTGTTTGTTTGTTTTTGGCAGTATTTATCGACATTCATGGGGGTTTAGGAATTATTCCTGATGAGAAGAGCATGATCTGAAGATAGCATGGTTAAAAGAGTACTACAAGTACTGCCCACAGCCGGAGTGGCTTACTTGCCTACATTTGTGGAAAAGCTTCCAAACACTCTGTCTGAATAGGTGCAAAGTGCTCTCCTGAGCCAAGAACACCTCTTTTTTTGGCTGGCCTCACATCCTTTTTGGCCTTCGCTCCCTGGAGGTGCAGAGTTGAAGTTAGGGAAGTTATACGAGTGCTTGGGGATTTTGGTGTATGTGTCATTTAACCGCAAAGAAAACAACTTTCTCTTTGAAGCACCCAGAATCCCTAATCAGGCATTAGCTGTTTCTCTCCGCAGTGGAATAGGATCCAGCGAACGCTCCAGCGGGTCCCATGGACCCCATGCACTCTGCTACGATGCTTCACTCATCGTGTGGTTGTGAGGAGCTCCTCTTGCCGTGGCCATGCTGTGTGGTACTCCACTCAAGAAGCGTGGATTTCCAGGCTTTCTGGAGGGGATAAGATGTGTGCTGCTCAAAACGAACGAAAATAGCAATATTTCTGTACCATACTAAAGAATGGTTCTGAAGGAAGTTACCATCCAGCCGTGCCTACCCCTCACTCACCTACCCCTTGGTTACTGAGGGAGATGCTAAGCTGCTCTCTTACCCTCCTTGCTGCACTGAATCAAGCAGACACCAGGCAGACCCCGACCACGTCGTTGCAAGAGGGACCTGTCTGATTCGCCTTAGATAGATAAAGCTCCACCGGGAGCAGAGAGTCTCAGGCTCATTTTCAGTGGGCAATACTATTTGCAGTAAATAACAGAATCTCCTAAATGGCATTTTCAGGTCTGTCTGTATTTACTTGGATATTTGCACAGACTTCTGAAATACTCGTGTCGCTGACATTTCTATATATATACCCTCAAAATAGTTTTAACTCTTTAAAAGTGACATAGATCATATAAATAGGTTAACCTCCTTGATACATAAGTACGTCTTGTGCATCTTTTTTAAAAGCACATTTTTACCTTGCATTGAGTTTAACCCTCTGTTGTCAGTGAGAAAGTGAAAATAAAAGTGGCCTTGTTCAGTGTCTGCAGTGGACGTGCAGTGCAGGCAGAAGTTATGCATGTGGGCAAACTGAAGCAAAGTAAAAGGGAATCCCTTTTGCTACAGGTAAACAATTTTAAAAAATGCATTATAAACCCCACATTGCCCACTGTCTCCTCTCATAAAAGCCCAACAGGAAAGGCTGGGCTCTGTGCTATGCTCCGAAAGCACAGAAATGCCAGTTTTGGTGAAACAGGCCCAGAAAAAGTTCCAGAGCCCTTGCCATCGAGCAGGCTGCTCTCAACCTCGGCAGGGTCACCGAGGCAGAGACGACATCTCCAAGAACGGGTCCCAGACCATGCAGGGCTTCAGCAGGCACAGCCAACGCTGAATTCTTCCCAGGAGCTGATTTGTGAAGCCAAAGCACAACTGAAACGTCTCCAAAAACAAAGAGCGTCCCGAACCAGTCTGCTCCCATGTCATTTATACTATTCTTTTGGCAGGATAAGGTAGAGGCACTTTCATAATTCCAGATAATTTAAGTCTTTTTTTTTTTCATATATAAATCTTCATTGAAACTAAAACTGCTTGTAGGCTAATGCCTTTTAAACCAGTTTTCATCCAAGAGCAAACAAAACTGTTTGCTAGTTACTGTGGAGAGATCTTACCCGGAGAGCAGCACTGGCTCATCCAGTGAAGGCAAGTGGGAGTAATAACGAGAAAAGTCAGTGTTTCTGACGCAAGTTTTTCAGCAAGGACACTGGCGCAAACTTGCTTGCTGGTGCACGAGTGCCGTGAGTTTGTGTCAACCCTTCGCTCTTTGCCATCAGCTGGAGTGGCGCCTACCTAAGTAATGAGATCCTGAAGTTGTTATAACATGTACCAAATTCCAGAGAGATAGAGGAAACTCAATTCATATTTTCTAGCTTTTCAGATTTGTTTTTCAGTGTTGACCTATGGCAGCCTCAGAAGAGGCATAAAAGAAATCTCGCTGTAATTTATATTTCTGTGAACTGTCATACACACTAAACCGAGTGCCAATGGAGTCAACTGCAGGAAATCTTTATTATTTTCTTAGAAGCCCTTTAAAATGTAAACATCCTGTTGATACGAATCTCAGATTCTTCTGCTGTTTACACAGCAGCTGCCATCGTTGTGCAGTGTCTGAATACACACACCATATTACAGGGTACACGAGCAGACAGTGCTGTACTCTGGCTTGTGCTTTCTTCTAGAGAAGCTAAGGCAGAAAATACTTCTGAGTGTTGAATTTAATTGTAAACCATTTTATGAGAATATTATGAGAACCTTATGAGAGTATTTTTGCTATTTTAAAACTGTTTGAAACTTGGGAATTGCGTAATTGTTTAAAACACAGTGTTGAAAGGGAGAGTAAAGATAACCCACATCACCTTTACTCTGCCCCTTAGTCAGATCCTGAAAGACTGAACATTTAGTCACTCATAACAAACAGGATATCACATGAAAGGTAATACAGAGTCTGTGTCATGCCCGGTGGTTGTAGGTGGTTGTAGGTGTTTTTCTTTTGAGTCAAGAGTACCTGGAAGTCTCTGTTTTCAGTATGGCAAAAGAATAAAAAGTAATCTTCTCACTCTCATTGCTGAGCAGTTAAAAATGCAAATCTTTAAAAGTTCAAACTAGAAGACAAATGAAAAGAACCTTCTATTTACCATCTTGTAAATGTGATTATTTTTAGACCAGCTGCATTATTTTGGGGACCCGACTCATCATTTTTGAATGCTTAGGTTGGCCACGGTTTTTCATTGCTGGTACAGTGGTTCTGCTGACTCAGGATGTCTTTATGGCCATGCAGAGTCCACAGGAAAATATGTGCTTTACAGACCATGCAAATCATGTGGTGAATGCCAGTGTTTCCTACTCTTAATGAAGATTCCATGTGCCTCTGTTCGCCCGTGGTTCGTTAATTGTGTCTGCCAATGGCCTGCAACAGCAAGCTACCAAGGTTAAAACGAGGATGAGAACGTTTGCATTCTGGATACACATTTTTGTTTAAATATGTTTAAAATGAATAATCTCTTCATATGTTAGGAAAATAGGTAACATCCTAACATCTGTAGATTGCTTGGCTTTGTTAGGTGCAGGCAAAGACTATGGATGTTTTGTCATTCAAAGAAAGACTTAATGCCAAAAATGTCACCTAAGTATCTGTCAATTTTCATAGGCATTTTACCACCATCTGGATCACTGAAAATTTCCACCCTAATTGCTGTCCTGCTTTTAGATTTTATAGCAAGGTCATTAATAGGGAAGCATTTTCAAAAGAATTCTGATTTTTTGGGCAGTTTCTATTTAAGAAACATATATACATATGCTTAAGTTTCAGATTTGCAGGCACACACGCATATATACACATAATACGCAGACTACTGCACACAGAATAAGCAGACAATTAATCGCAGCAGCAAATAAAGTTCCCAAATGCTTCCTTTTCCAAGACTGTCCTTAGTTTGTTGGTTGTAATATACCAAAACTTTAACTACACACAGGTTGCATAAGTGCTTCCTATAGTCATTATTTACTTTTTTAATTCACTACAAAAGACTTTACAGTAAGGCCTAGAGAAAAATATATTTTCTTATGCAAAAAAAATCTTGGCTTGGGGAAGGAAGCTGATAATTCCAGTGTGGAGAAGTGTGTGCAGTGCTAGTATTGAGGGAACTACTGAGTGAGGGGGTAAAGAAATGAGGAGGAAATGGGAAGAAAAGAAGGATCATGTGGCCAAAATGTAGCCGTCTAGTGCTATCCGAAATGGTGTATCTGAGATACCCGTGCGAGACCAGCAGATGTGACACAGGAGCTTTGTGCAGCAGCAGCTGGAGGCCAGACGGGTCGTCCTAGCTGTGACACATCCAGAAGTGCATGAGCCACTGGTGTGCAGGCACCTGAATCCAGCCTTAGGAGCTCGCATGTAGGAATCTGGAGTTGCGGTAAGTATCAAAGATGACCCCAATTATAGTCAATAGCAATCTGGTAAAGAAGTCAAGCTGGGATTCAGTTGCCTTAAACAAAGACATCTGGTATCATTTTGGGCACTGTGGAATATCCCCATCTGGCCTCCAGCTGCTCTTCCAGAAGGGAGCAGGTCCCCTCTGGACCTCACTGTGAAAGCTGTGCTGTGCCTGCCAGTCTCATGCAGATGTCTCAGATATCTAGAGCATCTCACAAGGCGCTAAGTACCGACATGTAGACAAGTGATTTCAGCCCTCGGTGGAACCTGGAGTGCTCCTGTGCCCATTTTACAGTAGACACCTGCTGTTTCAGTTGAAGAGCTTTCTAAGCACTGTTAAATTTATTCAGTTTATCTTCCCTGTTTGTGATGGAATTTAGAAACCTAGTGCATGTAAACATCTGAATTTAGATGTTTTTATCTTAAATTGAACTCCCATCCTGAGACTAAGTTAAAGACTTAACTCCTTACTTCCTCCTTACTAGAGGAAAAAAAAATATATGTGGAAATGAGACTCAGAATGAGTTGGAGAGACCAGAAGACTAAAATTTGGACTTGCAGGACAAGAATTTGGGGCTCGAATAAGAAGCTGAGGTTGTGAAAATTGGAATTGGCCACATAAGGAGAACAGAACCGTGAGAATGAGTGAGTCAAAGAGGGGTAGAGCAATCCTGAGTCTAGAAAGATTGGATGGTACAAAACAGAAGAAGTCATACTTGGAAAGGCTGGATTAAAGACTGGAAAACACAGCCTGTAGTTGGTAAATATACTATTCTTCTTGGAATAGGACATAAGTTTCCAAAATCCTACCAGTCCTTTGTTCTCAGCAGATGTCTTTGACTATGTTTACATTAGAAACAGGAGGAACACAATAGAAAAGAATTTGTAGAGCAGAAGAGTAATTTCTAAGACCTGTTGTAGGAATCTCAGTGGATTATTACTTCAGCCTAGGATTTTCTGGTCCTGTGCAGGTGGGATACTTGGAAACATCTTTTCACTTGTTTTCAACAGAAGGAGTTCAATTCATGCACTCCGAAGACTACACTACAATATGAATCAAGTATGGTAGATGAGGACAGGGGAGAGAATTGCTTTGAAAGCACAAGGTGGACCCAAAATAAATCACTGACTTCTGAGTTTGAGACACGCTGTGTGACACCCAGTAGGAAGCAGTCCCACGATCCTCTTCTCCACTGGAGTCTCTCAGGGCTACCTCTTTCAGTTAACACTGTTTCTTCAAAGGACAGAGACCTAAGGCAGCAGACGTAGAAGTGCTAATACTGCTGCCAGCACATTTAGAGTCCACATGTAAAATATCTGCTTTTCAGTTTAACTTTTTGGATTCCAGGAGATTTTATACAAAGACTCTACAAGAAGAGTTTATATCGCAAGCATTAACAAGCATTTCAGTTAGGGAGTGCCAACCTTAATTCAGCCTTACCTTGTGTATGCATTGACATGGTCTTTCTCTGTAAATGGCTTTTCCTTTTTTCCACAAAATGCCTGACACTGTGATTAACCAAAAGAGTTGTGTGATGAGGGAGAAAGCTGTCTGCAGAACTCCCAGCTCATTTGTAGCACAAACTGTAAAAAGTGTGGTGAAGAAAACAGGAAATGCTTTCATCATGGTTTAAGCACTTGAATCTTCCAAGAATGGACTATCAAAGAAGTCATTTATATTTTTAAAGATAATCACAGTTTATATGTTCTCACATTTCTGAATACCCATTTTAAGACCTTGATATCTATTTTACAGACAAGATTTTTTTTTAGCACCTACAAATGAAGATTTAGGGGTCTATCCTTTAAACAGTATGTTCTCACATTTCTAAATACCCATTTTAAGATCTTGATATCTCTTTTACAGACAATATTTTTTTTTTAGCACCTACAAAAGAAGATTTAGGGGTCTATCCTTTAAACATAGTGAATGTTACATAATCCTATAAATTGCTATGCACAATGGAAAATAGTTCTTATGTGCTTCACACTACACCTTCAATTTCATATATGTAGCTTGACATCAATCTCACTGCTTTCCACCTGCAAAGCAGAGATAAAAATGGTTCACTAAGGTGTTGCAAAAATAAATATGAGCATCTAAATACCACAGTGGTGCATGCCAGAGGAATGCACATAAAATTCTGTCCGTAAACTATGAAACATATAGTAAATAAATCCTCAGACCACACACAGAATTTAAAAAGAAAATAAACATACCAAATAGCAGCTCATCAACTGAAAGTCATCCGTTCAGTAGATTGGATGAGTCAAGTATCGTTCAGATCATGTAAGGAAAGATTAAACCATCATGCAGATACACCAGAGGCAAGTTAAAAATGCACATAAGTTTTTTGTTTAGCCATTTCTAAATACACTGGTTCTCAAATTCACGGTCCTACCTAGAAAATAGCCCATTCTGCAGTTCATGCAAACCAAACCAAGCATTTTATCCACCTTTTAAAGTGTAAATGACTCTTCATCTTTTTCTAAGCGATCATCAGAGGAGATCCTAGGACAAGTCTGCCTCATCATTTAAAGGACATTAAAGGACTATTCCATTAAACTAGAGTTAATCCAACTTCTTTTCCTTGTTCTTTTCTTTATATTTCATATTAGTTAGTAACTGACCTCAGTGATAAACATAATGGTGTTGAATGGCTTCCAAAAGACCTAAATTCAGCTGGCTATTTTATACTGACCTTTTT